CAATGCATCAAATTCCCGCAAAAGAATGGCAGGTAAGACATGGGTGATGCCAATTTTAGTCAAAGGTACCGGTGATGACAACAGAAGTGGAACAAAGGCCAACACTGGTCACGGGCAGTTACATACATACACACATACATATAACTTTATTTTGATTCAAATTTACAGGGTCAGCTAATTAAAAAAAGCTAATATCGTCAGGATAGTAAACATTGCAAATATAAAAACAAAAAGTACTAACTACTAACAATAATTAATTTTGGCTACCATATATATATAAAATGAATAATTAGTGTAGTAATCAGCTATTATACCTGAAAGGAGACTGTTTTTACGAGGTGTTTAAAACCAGTTAAAGTAGGTTCCATTCTAAAGTTCTCAGGTAGAGAGTTCCAAATTTTGGAAGCAAAATACTTAAAAAAGTGAAGACCATAGGGAGTGAAATTTTGGAGGAAAAATGCAAATGGATAAAACGAGTGTGCATGTGTAATCAACTGCAAATTTCTAGTGACAATTCAGTCTGTGCAACTTTGTTTTAAAGTGTGAAGGTTAAATATGTGGAAAATTAATTGGAAACCATAAGTTACATTTAGTTCAGTTAGAATTCTACTAAAACAATTAGATTATTCGCTCTTGAATTCTATGCAGTGATAGTTGATTAGGCCTTAAATCGGCCTCATCCACTATCACCTCATAGAAATCTCAAGCTCCTAATCTAATTGTTAAAGAGCTGCATATAATTAACGATTATTCTTTGAAATTGAGGTGAACAGTGGCACAACATTTACCAAGCTGCAAAGTGCATGGCGAGGTAAATGAGTACATGTAAGAATCAAGCCACTGTAGTAGTGTCAAGTAAGGATCACGCATTTTTAGTTTTCTATATTTTGGGGGCATTTGTAGTAAAACAAATTGAATATTCTACTAAACCTGCAGTGATTGTTGGATATGAATGGTTATAGCAAACTTGGCACTATGCACCCAGCTTGTGGGAGCTGCTATTTATTATCTCATATCCAAAGTGCATTCATGGAATAATTGTTTATTAGTTAGACATAGCGAACCAATCAGATTGTTTGAAATGCCAAGAGTGTGTTATATACTAATGATGATGATAGTAATGTATGCATTCTTCATGAGTGTGTGATTTATGCGACATGCAGGTCCTCCCAAAGTACATGT